ATCCCTACTTTTGGTTAATCCTAAGTATAAATCAATATTCAATGGATCAGAAGATTCTCAAACTGTAGTAATTATCTTTCGGAGAACCATAATGAATGATCGATCATTCACCTCACCAGCAAATACGCGAAAAAAAGCTGAATTGAATCTAATGAAAGAATCGAATATGAAGCCAAAAGAAGCAGTATAATGAACAGAAACTGAAAGAAGACCAACGGAACATACCTTCAAAAACTCATCCAAAAGAAATACAATAATTCTATAAAACTTACGTTGAAATGTGATAAAAAGTGAACACTGACAATATAAATAGAAAATCTATGAAAAAGCCAGTTGTAACTCTGCAATCGAACTCCGATATTCGATCACACTATTAATGCTCGAAACACTCACATTACTGATTTGGGGTCATCTATACAAATATGCAAATCACGGAGATGACGTCAATGATTCAATCCTACGATCATCAATCTGACGTAATTAATAATAGTGTATCCATGCATGATATTTTTTGTTGTATTATATGTTTATAGATCCTTGCCTTTCAAGCAAGGGAACAAACAAGAGTGCGCATTTCATTATGAATATAACTTGTAAATAAGTAATTAAGCTTAACGCATGAAAAGGTATCTATTGTATACGCAATTTATTTGAGGTTATTCGGTATAGAAATAGGAAAAGATAAGTTAGATTACTACTCTAAAATACTCACTCGAACTTTTGAAGTTATAGAATTTCTATTTTAGAATACTATTCCATTGGCCTTAAGCTGAAAAGTTTATTATAAAAGGAACAGGGTAAGAGTGTCATTTTTCTATTCATTTTAAATAAATTCATTTAAAATTGATTATCTCTTGTTTTATTTATTAAATATGGTATATAAAATATAGTATACAAGCATATAAAGTTAATTTTCTTTGTCCATATCATTATTAAATAGACTTTCAAGAAAGAGAAAAAAAAACAGAAGAAAAATGTATAAAAAGAAGAAAGTTCAACCACATTAGTGTATGAGCAGATGTAAAAAATGACAAATTTTTCGAGTGTAATGTAACTAGAAATGATTAGATGAAAATATCATAGAAAATCAATCTATTTTTTTTCTGATTCTAATAAAAATCGAATGAATTTCTGATGTCAAGCAGTTTTTGAAATATTTTCAAACTTAGCGCCATCTACAAACAGAATTTTATTCATATCCACAGAACCATCTTTTATCAGAAACTAAACCAATGATTTTTTAAGTCAGAAAAATAAAATCAATTTTTTGTGAAAGTTTCATCCAATCATTCTGAATTTCCTCGAACTCCCAAAATAACTACACTCGTTATCACAAGCTCATGGACTATATAATTATTCGCAATTAAGAAACAAATTACGTTCGAAACGTTGATGATCACATATTTTGTTATATATTTACATTTTATATAATTGTATATTATATTTTATATATTTGTATGTTATATTTTTGTATACCATATTTAATAAATAAAAGAACAGATAATTATTTTTAAATGAATTCTAGTCTTCTTAAAACGTCATGAATTTAAAATAAATTTAAATTAGTTTTTTTTTCATAATTTAGATATAAAAGTAAATATAAATTATCATAAATTATATTTAATATAATTTCAGTTTATGATAATTTTTATTATTTTTTAAATTTAAATTACTGATTATTTAGTTTATGCATAAATTTAAAGTAAATATAAATTGACACTCCACTACATCAGATCTTTCAATGGAGTCTGTGAAGAGTTATAGATCGAACACTGTTCACGTATCTCAGAATATATTGCTTTCACTCCCATTTTCGAGGGTATTCGTATTTTTCGATTCGCATAAGAAAAGTTAGGTTTTTGAACATTAGGAACAGAGCCTATCAAGGTAGCACGATACTATAATTCTGAGGATATTTTCAGAAAGTGTATCAAAAATTGCATCGATTCACATAAAAATATAAGTAAAATAATTTTCGCTTCATTTTTGAAGAAAATTGAAAGATGATAAATCACTGCTAGAAGGACTCATAGTTTTTGACAGCATGTATCATGACATCCACAATATCGTCCGATATAAATTACAGCTTTTTTATATCAATATCTTAGAAGATACTTGACGTTGTGAAGTCTCTAAAATCAAAATATTAGATCTTTCTAATTTATCTATGAAACATCAAGGATTTTATACTGTAACCATCATCGAGACATTGATTATAAGGAATTTAATAGAACAGTCTAAACTAGACATTGACACAATGAAACATAATTTTTCCAATCTAAATATACAATTTTGTGGAGCTAACCAAGAGATATAAAATACATTATTTGAGTTATACATCTGATTGAAATACAATGAGAAAAAAATGACTCCTTTCCTAGGGATACTCGACGTACATTTGTACATTGGATATAGATATCGCGTCAAGGTTCTGTCCAATAGCTCTTAGAACTTGATTACAGATACAGTTTTCACTACGCTTTCATGTCACACCATCAGAATTTCAAAACATCATCACATGATGTAGAAAGTTTTGTAAATATGCTAAATATAAAAACTAAACGATTTCGAATATGAAGCTTTATGATTCTGAACATCAAAGATTGTAATACATGAGAAGTTTGCCCACTCTTAAGATCTTCAATCTTCGACGCTTCTTTCATAATGGACTAGATAAGTATAAAAAATCCTAAATTATAGGTCTAACAACTCGTCAGTGCCGTCCACTGTAATCTCTGTAACTCCATCAAAATGCAATATATTCGTGAGAAATTTTTAAGATAGCCATATATATTCTAATGAGCTAATGTTAACATTAGTCAGAATCCTACTTCAATTCTTTGAGAGCCACGAGCATTGCCGGAGATCTTACAAAATATCATTTTGAAAGGATACCAAACTTTAAACTTATGAAGAAATGAAGGTCGTATTCTTCTGCTATAGTATAAAAAAACAAAACTTTTCATTAAGTCTTTTAGCGCCATGTATTCGACTGGCTGATACAGTTGAACTTTTTTAATAAAATTCAATTTTATAGTTCTACACTACTGGATATTGCCTAAGTGGCCAAACCTTTACAAACGCTCTGATACATAAATATAAGTGATAAGACAAAGGTTGATGTTAAATTATCGTCTAGCTTACGAATTTCTTTAGAGAAAGGCAAATAAACGAAAAGACTACACAACTCAACATGGACGAAGAAGATATTACAAACTGCAACGACTCTGATGCAGAGTTTTGGGAAGATCAATTTAGAGATGGTTTAAGAAATTTTCTTGTTATTCTATTATGCATATTGTGCAGTATATTGACTACATATCTTATACATAATCCTTATGGTAGTTATGCTCCAATCATGTTAATAGCCATATTTGAATGGTATAGATCTTATCCACGACAGATACGTTCGTATTATGGTTTATGTAGATTATTATTATATATACTAGTTATTAGTTTATGGGTTGTATTTATATTAAGACTGATTATTCAAAGTATTGTTTCACTATCAGGACATCATCATCATATAGTAGCAATGGGACAAGTTCAACACTTATTTCCATATGCATTAATATTTACTACTTTTGCAAGAAATAGACATGATATGGATTTAAATGATAAAAGACGTTATATTATACATTTATTATATGATTTACCTGCATTTTTATTAGTTATAATTTTTAAGTTATTAAATCATCCATTAAATTCATTATGTAGTCAAATTACGACATATTGTTATTTGGGTTGTTTACCTACTGCTAGTGATGTAAAGACATTGAATAATATTGGGATTGAATATGTTGTAAATATGTGTGCTGAATATAATGGTCCACGTAAAACATATAAAAAATATAATATAAAGCAACTACATTTACCAACCATCGATTGTACAGCACCATCACTAAAGACAATAGAAAAAGCAATACAATTTATGAATGAAGCATATACAAATAATAAAAAAATATTTGTTCATTGTAAAGCTGGTATGGGAAGAAGTGCTACCATTGTATTATGCCATTTAGTTGCTAATGAAAAGATGTCATTGGAAAATGCATTAAAATTAATCAAAGAAAAAAGACCCGAAGTAACAACTAGTATCATCAGATATGTATCTGTGAAACAATTTTTAGCTTCGTTGAAAAAAAATAAAGTGCAATAAACTTTGCCTATTGTTTTGTCTATTTATATTCATTTAGGATCACTCGAGATTTTGTGCGTCTATTTTTGTACATAATACGTTATCGGTGTGGGTGTAGGTGTAGGTGTAGGTGTGGGTGTGGGTTAAAAGAAGACTCAAAATACATACCCACAGTTTAATATTTTTTACACAGTAATGACATAAATCCTTTTGTTTATGGATATGTTTTAATAATTCTTTTATTTTCATATTTATTTCTATTGTTGCTTGATCTAATTTTTGGTCATGTAATTCAATATAAAACATAACATAGAACATAAATACGATGCGGTATAAAAATATAATGATCATCAACAGAAAATATAACCACAAAATTATTGTTGGACCTTCTAAAATATGCTGCAGACAGAGTCTAAAAAAAGCAAAAAATGAATAATTAGATTTATAATAAATCAGCAATAAACAGTTAACAATAATGATTGTGTTTTTTTTTTTCATACGAAGATTGAATTTAATCTTTTTTTTATTGTTTGCTTATGTTTTTCTGCCATAGAATTATCTGTATTTATTTAATTTCATTTGATCTCATTATATAAAAAAATACATACAACGTATAGTTGAAAAATTTATGAAAAGATCGTCTTCCTAAGCAAATTTTTGATAGAATGAAGCAAGGACGAGTCATGTACTAAATAAGCAAAGATAGTACGAATATGTAACGAGTAGGAGAGATAAAATTTTAACTACTTCGAAAAGATCTATCATCTTTTTCTTATCTATTTTCTTCTTCAATATTGCCTATATTTATGCTTCAATAAGAAAAGAATTTGTTCAATTTAGTGCAACATAGCTACGCCGAGTTTTAGAACAAATCAAGAGTATATATTAGAGATATACATTACGCCTAAGACATCAGCAATCCACTAGACAGGTGTGGAAACAGCTTAGATAGACGTTTCTAATCGCTAGGCAGAATCATAGCTAACGCAGGAGATCCCGGTGATGACTAGATAAAAGCAAAGACAATCATTTGAGAGTTACTGAAGAATATTTTTTCCTCATATTTATGTTACAATAATATTTTTTGTAAAAAATATTGTTCATTTATCAACGATCATATAAGTATTTATATAACAATATAAACTGATAAAAATAATTTTAAAATATCAAACATGACAACAATATATAATCGAACAGAAATGTACAGAAAATAATGGTCGTCTTCCTATGAATACATCATTATCTTTAATTTATATCAATTTAAGATTAGGATAAGTAATGAAATATTCTATCCAATGAATACTTTCGGAAATTTCAATGTAATAATGAGTTTATAAAAGAAATTCTCATGCGTTTGTTATTATCAACAATATTCATGAGAAGAAAACAACTAAAGCTTTTTTTTCCATAGAAAATCTCATTAATATATACGCAAAACTTTGTTTCTTATTCATTTGTACTATAGTATGGATGAGTTCACTGAATTTCAACAATTTTGTAGCGCCTAAATTCCTAACAAGATGAAAAAAATAAATTTCATCTTGTTTTACAAAGATAAAAACTTTTCTAATAGTCAATACTCAATTGAGAAAAATAATCATTGAAAATTTAGTATTATTATTATGAAAGGAAAATTCTTTCTAAATTAATAATTGTCAATTAACCAATTCAAATCGTACGAAAGTTCATATTTTAACTATTACAAAGTACGACTGTGTCATAACCAAATACTTCTATCATTTTCTAATCTTTTAACTTTGCTATATTTTCTTTACTTATTCTAAAAAATACACGTTTATCAAGTAAATATTAATTTTTACTACAAAACTATCAAACACTATAAGCAACTTCTAAATGATCAAACTATAGACAATGTAGGCCTCGCGCGGGAGTCCCAAGATTGGGGAAGGAGTGTGAGTAGAGTCCCGAGTAAAGATGTTCGAGACCAAGTATTTTTGGTTTCGGTTTCGATCCCGATAAAGTTTTATCTTTGGTCCTGATCCCGATGATTTTAGTTTTCCTGTAATCTATCTCAGTATAGAGAAAACTGTTGCAGAATTTATTGGTCTCATATGTAAAAAAATCCTTCAATTCTTGTTTTTATGAGTTCTTTAGTCGAGGATAGACGTGTGCGGGATCAAGAATTTTTGGCTCGGATCCCGTAGAGCCTCGACAGCATCTTTTTGAGTAGTCTCGATCGTAGTCAGAGTCAATCAAGTATCTCATGTAAAAATACAGGCCAAAAATTTGAGTCAAGTTGGTTTGTAAAAAGAATAATCACTAAAAATTGATTAAAAATACCAAATTTCGATGAAATCCAATGTAACATTTGATTATAATTAATTTTACTCAGTAAAAATTGATTTAAATAGATTAATCTTGTTTCTAATTCTAACCGACTTTAATCCATTGTTCTTCTTTTTAATTGATTTTAAACAATCAATGTGTATGAAATGTTACTGATATAAATGACCGAAAGCAAATTTTTTTGTGGTCTTCCTCATCTCTACTCGAGGCGGCAAAGATTTGAGAACGCAAAATCTTTTTCATATCAAATCTGATATTAATCTCTCTCTTGCAACCTGAAATGTAACAGTTTTTAGAAAAGCGAAAAATTTTTGCAACCTTCTCCAAAAAATTCGATTTTCTCTGGCAAATCTTCTAGGAGAGAACCGATGCCCAATGTAAAGAAATTTCTTAGTAGTTTTGTCGTCGAAGGCAAGCGCGCTGCCGAAAACTGTTCTAAATTAGGCTGTTTCAAATGGGAAATTGACTAAAGTAGGGAATCTTTCTAAGTTAACTACGGTTACCTAATTATTATTTTTCGAGAAACGAAAACTTTTTTCAGACTCATGAAAAACTCCTTTTTCTTGTATTTTTTTTTGAAAGGAAAGTGTTATGGTAGCTCTTAGCAATTTTGGCGCTGAAGGTGGTCATGCTAGTGACGATTGTTAGAAAATGAAGCTCTTCAGAAGGAAGACAGTAGTAAAATTGCTATAAAAACACAAAAATTACAGATATTTTTAGGTCGAATACGCTTACATGGTACTTTTTTGTAAAGCGAAAAATTTTAACATCTCTTCAGAATTTTCTAGCAAAAATCATTGTTTGAGCCTGGATGTCAAATAAAAAACCAGCTGACTTCTTAAATTGGCTACATAACGTCCTGTTTTTCATTGAAGTCTCAACAAAGGTTTCTGATTATTCGAAAAGGATCATTCTCGACTGCCCACTCTGCTCGGAACATTTCTGAGAAATATTTATGAAAATATCTCAAAGAAATACTTTAAAAAGCTTTATCGATTTTGCTGGCTACTAATGGATAATTTTCAATTATTGGAAGGGTGTACATCTCTCACTTTCGCAGGTGCTGAGACAATGTCAACAGAAGATGGTTTAAGAATCTCATGATTGACTTCCAATGATTACAGACGATAAAAATACTATTTTTAAAATAAGACAAAAAAAGGAAGATCATGGAAATATTCATCATTTCAAAACAAAATGGACTCATAGATTTTAATGATTAAAATGTCGTTGGTTTGTATATAGATTAAAATAATCGATGAGAAGTTATCACAACACGACGAATTACCGTAAGAAGAGAAAAATTTTGTTGGATACAACATCAACTAATCAGCAAATCGAAAGTATAAATGCATCACTATGAAGAACAGAAATGTTGACACGGCTGTCCCTAGGAACGAAATGTGAAACATCAAGATTTCAATAGATTCTTACCATTATTATTCTGTTCATCGCTCATTTCATTCATAAAACTGTAAAATCCCTCACCTACGAAAAGCAAACTCTTCTAGCCATAAAATATTCATCAACGACTAATTCAGAGGATGAAACAACATTTCACACTAATCACACAAGCATGTTCAGTATATCTAAGCAATTACGTTAGATGCAGAACTCAATTCTCAATGGAATTGTGTCTATTTCAGTCACTGGACATACTTATGAGTAGAGATATATGGTCACGCATGTGGTATCACGTCTATATGTTAGTAATTGAAAGCAGAAATAACAGATTTCCTACGAATCATCTAACAATGCCCGATTATTTTGGAGATATATGTTGCATGCAGAATTTGATTCTCTATCAAATGGTATTTTGGTATGGATCTTATCCTCCATCACACCCACATCAACTTTTCTAATTTAATCAATTACTGAAGTGTTGGAAGATATTCTTCATGATTGTAATTTACATATATAAATATTGCAATCATAATTGTTTTTTTTGAATTTTCATCAAGTGAATCTATAAAATATGTTTTTAATGATATTATATCTTTCAATAAGTTTTATTTTGTAATAATCAAGTTAATTTTGAATCACGAAAAGAAACATGTGAATTATCATCAACAAGTATACAAAATAACATTACCAAATACAGAAGAAAAGTCAAAATTTATATTTGTTTCTTCTTTAAAACGTTCATGGTAGGTGTATAGATGAACTGTGGATGAGAATTTTTTCGTTATTTGAATCTATACCCACATCTTTAACATGTACATTTATTAATGTTTCAATAGACTTCATATTTACCTTAACTTTTCGGTGCTCAATGTTCTCGTGCTTATCGTTTCCTTGTCTAAGTATCCGTGTTTAAGTTTTCGTGCTCATCATTTCGGTTCTCGTTTATTGCATAAGCATTAAATTATAACAAGAATAACCAGAGAGAAGATGTAAATTGTATAGATGTGTGAATAGAAAATAGAAAGAAAGAGAAAAGAGAATATATATATGAGGATGATCAGTCTAACCAGATCCTCCAGTTCTTTTTTTTTTATCATACAGCTTCTATAATATATCAGCAAAATATGATATTTTCTATCATTTATAATACTTATGTAGTGCTGATGATTTTTTATTGTTTGAGTTAAATGTCTTGTTTGAAACAAAAATAATCTAGCGTCTTCGGAAAATGTTTTGCGCAAACGTTCTTTTTATCAAACTTGTTCATTCACTGTAATTCATACTTGTTATATGAAACAATTAAAAATACCATTGACAAATTCTTTATTAAAAGTAATCGATCAGAAACTATTGATAACATATCAAGGTCTATGATTATGATTATGATATCTATTCAATGTTAAGATTACATAGAATAGAGACAATATGTATAATTTTAGTACTCTTATGAAAGCCATCATAAAGTCCTTTGTAAATATGTCCTAAAATAGTATAACTTTTAATACTTTGATAAATATGTTTAACAGCTTCTCCTGCGCTTCGGATCCAGCACAATATTGAATTTGTATACTGTCAAGTCGAAAAAATCAAAATGGAATATCAAAAATGTCAAGTGAGAATTATAATAAACAAATAAGTTTGATAAATATACATTTGAACGAAAAGCGTTTACAAAGACACTTGATTATTTTGGTTTCGGACAATATATATAATCTAAACAATAACAAGTCTTCAGTACTACACGTGTATTATAAATAGTAAGGATGAATTGAGATATACGGCCAGACTAATCATTTCTATATATTTCTTTCTTATTATACATAAAGATCAAAAATTCTTTATATATCACAGTGACAATATATTTAAAAACAGAATAACAGGTTTCTTTTATGTATTCAATCAACCGAAAATATTTAGGTGATTCTAACGTTTCTATTCTTCATTAATTTTATGAGGCACATTTAAAATAATGTTTTCAGCATTACACATTTTTATTTTTGAAGAAATATATTCGATTTCTAGAAAAATCTAGAAGGAAAAAAAGCGACACCAAAAATGAAACAAGCAACTAAAAGTATATATTTGTTATATTAAAAGTTCAAGCATAAAACATGATTTTAATGAAGCGAAAAGCGTTGAATGCGATTATTACTAATGTCCGATACATACAAATAGTTTTCTTCATAATCAATTGCTAAACCATAGGTTATACTCATTAAGTATGGTGTGCGACCTGATATTCCAATTGAACTTCCTGCAACAGTAACACCAAATGTTGCATTCTTTTGCCATTTTTGAATTCTATTATTGTAACTATCAGCAATGTAAATTGAACCATCCAATCTTGAAACATATATATCCGTTGGACGATATAGCTGATTACTAGCCAAACCTGGACCATTTCCACCAGCAACCGTTACTCCAACGCCTAAACCACCCAAAACAAATCGTTGTATACGATGATTATAGCGATCGGCCACATATATATATGAATTAGATTCATCCAAAGCAAGAGCATAAGGTATACGCAACGATAGACTATCATTACCCGGTGCACCTGATTGTAATCCAGCTATAACTGTACCACTAATAGCATTTGGCGCCCATTTAGTTACCCAATTGCAAGCAGAACTGGCAATATAAACATTACCTACACTATCAACAACGATTCCTGTCGGAAAGTATAACCAATACATTGAACAGTTATTGTAGGAGATGCCACTCGGTGGAATAGTTTTATTCGTTGGCCATATGTATGCAAGATGAGCATACATGATAGTAATATAAATATTTGAAGTTCTATTGTCAAGAGAGAGATATCCAGTCCAGCTGCTAAAATTTCTAAGTGCGTGACCTGTACGATTATTGGGATTGAACATAAAAAGTTGGTTAGTACTATCTCCAACATATAATGTGTTATTATAATCTAATAGGATGCCTGTTGGACCGTTTAATGTTGTTTGATTTGTACTAGAAGTGCCATTACACCCACCAGCTACTGTTACACCAAAAGACATTGGCACAAGCGTTGTGTCTATGAATGAAAATTGCAGAATAATGAACAATTCAAAATTTCATTAACAGCATCTTTAATTCTAGATAAAAATTTCTTGTAAGTAAATAGGCTATGCTATAGGTAAATGCATCTTATCATTTATTCTATAGTTTGAACTTTCTACTGCTTCATAGAATAAATAATTGTGTGCTTACAGTCAAAAACTATTGGTAAACATTTTGACCAATCTCCATAACAATCTGTTGTACAAGTAAGATTCAAATTTGATCGACATGCATCTCGTTGTGTGCATGTATCATTTTCAAATAATTGTAATGCACAAACAGATCCATTCCAATATGTATTTGCTGGACATTGACATTTATTGATATTTGTAAAACAAATTTCATATCGATTTTCTTGACATGCTTGACAAGATTGATTATGAATTGATGAATAGAGAGTTGAGAAAATTTGAACAATACCAACAATAGATGTTGATGATGATGATGAAATAATTGATCCTGTTGTAGAATCACCTTCAAATAGACGACATCGTTTTGAAATCAAATCATAATCGAATATACGACAAGATGATAGTTGATTACATGCTTCTGAACAGAGAATTTTAGTTTGAATTATTTCCGTTGCTAATAACTGAATAGTATTGTTTGGTGTATATTCTAATCCTGTAGAAGTTAATTTCATATATGATTGATAGATAGAATCTATTGGTAAAACATTGATGATAATAAGAATAATAAGTAACATCTTTTCGTTTTTTTTTTCAGAACTAAAAGATAAAAATAAGATCTGATCAACTAATATTAAGAATTTATTGACAATAAGAAGAGAAAAAAAAAATTTTATATATGAAATAAACGAAAAAGATAATATAGACTTAGAAAACTAACTATCAGATATTCTATTCTATTTTATTATTGTGCATTTCACAAATGTGAAAATATGATTTTAGTGACTATGTAACATTGCTACTCTATTAGAGATCATTCTACTCAATCAAACATAATTGTCAGTAAGTTATTCAATTGTCGTTGATCATATTAACACTTTTTTATAATTTTAAATGAAAGTCATGAATACTGTTCACAATTTTGTTTGACACTTCTATTATTAATAAACTTGAACAAAGATAAGTTAATTCTATGTGTGAAAATTACGTTTACTTGATTAACCATAGTACTATCAGTCGGAGTCATTTTTGATCACGACTCAAAAATTTCAACATACACTAGAAAGATTTTGTTGCTTCTTAATTTTTGAAAACAATTAGCACTTCTCACGAATAGATATACGTTGTTGAATCTAAAAAGAAATTCATCTATTTTCTACATTATTACAAGCCTTCGGTGGAATAACATGTCTTCAGTATACAATAAACATATAAAAAGAAAGGAGTACAAGTTAAATTTTCAAAACTACAATGCAATGAGTGATTTATTATTTCAACTGAATATTTTAGATCCATTAAAAAATATTCTTTTGAAATGGTTTTGAGCTATCCAATTAGAATGGAAGACGATTCATTCAATTGTGGGTTAAAGGTTAACTGGCCTCTTTTTCCTGTTTCATACTTATTGAGTAATGAGGTCATTATATCATATTAAAGGTGTGTAATGGTATAGAAAAAAAAAAATAATTACTTTTTAGATTCAACAACATATGTCTACGTATATCTATTTGTAAGAGATGCTAGTTGCTTCCAAAAACCAGCAAAAAATAAAATCTTTCTAGTGTATTTTGAAATTTTTGAATCTGGATCAAAAATGACCTAGGCCGGTAGTATTAGAGTTAAAAATTTTTAGGTATGTATCATCATATCTTATCTTTTTCTCAATGCTATGTAACATTTATTTCACCATGTTAGATTCAGCGTCATATGTATAGTTATATATATATTCGTCATGCAATTAACATTATGACTTGAATAGTTAATATCAGAAAGTTCTTCACTGACTTTTTCACTTCTAGGATAACTAATCGTGAATGTTTTTGAAAACAAAAATAAATAAAAATTGCTCAATTTAATTGGAATAAAATAAATCTGGGAATAATAAGAATACCGTCGTGTTATATGGTATTCATTACTCTCTGAAATACCCTTCTATTTATACAAAAAACTGCGTCATATGTTTTTTTTTTCGAGCATTTATAAGCGAACAAAAGACAATAGTTTTCAATTCATTCGTTCATTATTATGCTATTGATTTTTCTTTTGTTTTAATAAATAATATAAGGCTATGTTTTTTTTTTAGAAAGTTCTATTACAATCATGATTTATTTTACGTGTTAATTGTTTTTTTTCACACAAAAGTAAAATCTATTTAATTTGAATAGTATTAAAGTCGATAAAAAGTTTTCTATTCGACTTATTAAATAAAAGAAATGATTTCATTTCCATTGTAGCTTTTTATCATATGAAATTAATCTTTTTTAAATAAAATAATTCAACGTAAAAAAAAACATCTTCAAATAAAGAAAAAAAAATATCAATGAATTTTGATTCCAAATTCAACCTTGCATTTGAATTAAATGATAATTTCTATGTTGATTACTATTGAATTCATTCAAATAGATTAATTTCTATACGTTAATCTATTTTATTCTATAGTTTATCATATTAGATTAAATTAACATTTATTTAAATTATCAATAATATTATATTTATCTTTAATGTTGATTCGATAAAGACATGTAATTTAAAATGAAAGTTTATTTATTTATTTTGTTACAATCGAAAAAAAAAATAAAATAGAATAAAATAAATGTTAGTTTTGTTTGTTAGTAGTTATAATGCAAATAAAAAACATAAAGAAAAATTTTTTTTTGATTTTATAATGACTGGCTTTTCTTGGTAAATGAGATATTTCTTTTTTTTACTCTTTGAAACAGATTAAGTATTTAAAGGCTATCATCCATTGTAAGTTTAAGAGTATTTTTTTTATTATTAAATTTTGTTGCTTGTTGTTTTTTTTGTAGTAGTTATTGTGCCATCACCAGAACTATTACATGGATCATCAGCAATATATGTATCTGATGGTTCATTTTCTCCATCAGAATCTTGTGGTACTTTTTTAAAACCTTTTCGTCGATTCGTCCAACAACAAAGAAACGAACTATTGCTAGTATCACGATTTTTCACATCAGTGGGGAATGTATTCAAACGATGAATTTTACCTATAAAAAATGAATATTATTTTGAAAATATCTGTTTGAAAAGAAAAAAAAGTTTCATACGCTTATTTCTTATTCGAATAATACATCCAATAATCACAGAAGCAAGAACAGGAATGGCAAAAGCAGCCATTATAATTAAAGAAATACGAAAATTTTTATCATTGAGATTGATTCGTTTAATAAACGCTTGTGTCGGAAGATCTAATCAATGAAAAAATAAATTGAAGATTAAGAACAATGAATCTATTTTTACCTTTTTGCTTAGATAATTCAAATTTACGTAAAGCATTATTAGGTGATGATGCTAATTCACCAACATAAATTTCACGAGCATTTATTGATACAGTAATATCATGTGGAGCATTTAAATGCTATTATAAAGCAAAAACAAAAATCGTTTACATTTTCTAATGTTAATTATAAATAAACTTACTGGATTTGAATCAAATGATGTTAAAATTTCTCCTTTTTGTGCATCAATCATATAAACTTTTTTATTTGATGTTTGTGCTCCTCCAGTAACAGCAAATAAAATTGTTCCTAAATAAAAATGAAATAATATATTTTATTTTGATTTATTATTTTCCTATTAATAACAAACCATTAGTATTTGGTGCAAATTCAATAGCATAAATTGCACCAATCTTTTCTGTTATCTCTACACGTATTTGTCGTTGAAATTCTCCTGTATTTGAATTAAAACATTGAATACGAAAATTTTCTCGATCAGCACCACATAATAATTGTGCATCTTCATTTAATGCTATTGAATGAACAATATTCCATTCATTAGGTAGTGGAAAACCATCACCTAGAAAAATTTTCATAGATTTAAAATAAATAAGTTTTAATCAAACATTTCAAAATGTTAAAGTTTTTTTCTTTTTATTTACATTCATCAAATTTAAAACCTATGAGCGACACAAATCAGGATGCAGGGTACCACCGAGACCTTTTTTTTAAATCCTTACTTTTTATGCAGAAAGAAGGAATCACAAGCTCAATGACTGAAAAAAATCCTAAAAAATATTGCTGTTTCTATAGAAGTGTTTTCTTATAGAATAATAAAAAAAAATCGAGATATCAAGTAAAAATCTTTGTTGTTAATGAGAGATTCGATCACGAGCTATCTTCCTCTCCATTTATTTTAACTTCAATCATTAACACATACTGTCTCTAGTAAAGAAAACAAATCTAGAAAGATGTCAAGATTAATTATATTGTTCATTATACAGAACAAAAAAACATGTATTTGGTCATGAAAAAAAAAAGGATAACTTACTATCAAGTTTTCCTGACATTGGTGAACCCCATTCCATGATATATTCTCCTTTGCGATTAAATTTAATAATACGACTATTGCAATAGCTATAAAAACAAAAACAAAAAATAAAATTTTTATTAATTTTCTTTTCTTTTGTTTTATAATATTTACCCATCGGCAACAAAAAAATCTCCATTTTTCATAACAGCAATATCAGCTGGTCGACAAAGTTGATTAGGTCCTGAACCAGGTTTAAACATTTCTCCAACAATTAATGCTGAATGATTTAAATCATTTGGTTTAAACATAAAAACTTGATGCATAGCAATATCAGTTAACCAAAAATTTCCTTCATGATCTATTGTTAAACCATGTGGCATATAAAATTTTTTCGAACCCCATCGAAATTTTGTTTGTCCTGTACGTGTATCAATATGAATAAGAACATCTTCTTCAATTGGACCATAATCTTCATTACGAAAATTAAAACCATTAAAATATCTATTGTAATAAATAAATATAATGAACGAAGTTAATATTTTAAATAAAATTTTAATTTTACTTAAATTCCCATTTTCGAGAACCACGATGAAATACAATAAGTTCATCATTTGCATTATTTAATGCAATACCACCTACTTGACCAAGTTGAGCTGGTAATGATTTAATATCAGGCCAATTTTCGACACTTTTATATAAATTAGCTAAAAATATTTTTTAAAAAAAAAACAAAATTATTTTAATTTTTTTATAATTAATAAATTATTTATCATTGCAAAATAAAAATAAAAAAACAAAGCGAAGGAAATAAACGAGTGACAATATCAATTCTCACATCTCATTAATTTTGCATTATGTAATTTTACTGTTTGTCCTTTTCCATATGTTAAATGATTTGGTAATAAATAATCATAATTTTGTGCATCAACATATTCATAGTCTGGTAAACCAAGATGTGATAAAATTTTATTTATATCAAAATTATCTATTCCTTTATCACGATGACGTATATTTTCAAATTCATCTAGATAATCTTCATAGGATTGATCATCATTTGCTAATTATATTTTGATATGTATTTATTTATTTCAAAACTAAAAAAAACTTATAATATTAAAATTACCTGTGTATGAATTCATTGCATGTTCAGCATGAGCATGATGACCATTCTGTGTTCCACTAATATCAGCTGGTTTAAGAGGAGGAATCTCACTATCTGGAGGAATCAGACTAAACAAAAAGAATAATATTCATTTGTTTTTAAATCAAATATATTATTAGAATTATTTAAATATGCATATTATAGAAAGACAGATGTATAAACGAAGAAGTTCTTTTTTCTCACAAAACAGTATAATTATTAAAATATATAATACTGAAGTTTCTTAATCCTATTCTCAAAGGTTTTAGAATGATTACTGTTACATATTTTGGTAACGCGGAAACCGCTCGGTGTGATATCTAGCGTTTGAGGTAAGACATCAGTCATTACGTAGAGCCTGTTGAGACTAGACGAATTCTTTCCAATGCGCTGTCCTCTTGGAGTTATGGCCGTTACATTGGATTTTTTACCTTTGGCATGATGTTTATAAACAAACTAGATAAACAAATTTTAGCAGAAATTGTTAGACGATTCTAATAACTTCAAAAGCTGTCTATCGGCAAAGTTTTAAGCCAAAATTCATTTGTTCAGTTTTTTTATAATCACTGTGTCAAATGTAAAAAAATCCAGTATAACAGTCATAACTTCAAAAGGACGGCACAAAGAGAAGAATCCTTCTAGTTGCAACACACTCTTGGTAATGACTGGAATCTCATCTTCGATGCGAGATATCACCTCGGATGATTCCCTGGTAAGTGTAAACAGATTGGTATATGTCTAATAGGATAGTATTGTAAAAAAGCATATTGTTAGATTATTTATTGTTTTTTAATAGTTCTTAAATCATATTATATTATTGATATAAGAATTATTGCAACGCTATTGAAATAACCAAGAGTTGAGAGCTAAGTACTCTGAAAAATCAAGGCTACTTAGATCAACTCTGAATTCTTTTATCAAATAAAAAAAAAGAAAAGCAAAGTTTTTACATTTTATCGATTCAAAGAACAGCACAGTCTTCCATAATTTAATATTTATTACTTCTAATATAAGAGAATTAGAAAATTCCAACGACATCTCTACTCAGTTAAATCAGTTATAAATAGTTTACCTTGCCATTCTGCTGATTCCATTATCCCAACACATTTGAGGTGGAGATAAGTCATGTTTTGGATCATATGAATACATCACATATACGTTACACATTTCATCGTGATGCGTTGATCTAATATTTCAATGAATATTGTATTATAAAATATAGGATGTGTTAGTTAACAAATGCATAGAACTCCACTACATATCTTGCTTAATCCAAAAGTTTTTATTTCCGATTTGAAACAAGAGACGCATAAGTTTTTATTCTTTTAGAATAAACTCATTAACACTTTTGACTACAATACAAAAAAGAATGAAGACTTTCTTCGATGTCAATAATGATATACATCGTTTTTTTTTAAATGTTTTCTCAAAACAAAACTTGATCTTTAAGAACAAAAATATTACGCATTTTCTGTTTCAAATAGAAAAATTTTGGATTAAATTTTATCAATAGTTGAATTAAATACATTTGTTAAGTGATTATGATTTTTTTTAGACATTATATATATATATATATATATTGTAAAAAAAAGAAATAACTTACCCGGCAGTAATAATTCGATCATCATTATTATCATAGACACATTGACCAACAATATAATCCTTATTTTGAATTTCAATAGTTGATGGAAGTGGATAGAATGATTGAGGCCATTGTGGATCACCTTTGACAACCTGTGAAATTTCTCCATTACGTACTCGATACAACGAATTAACTCGTGCTATAAAATAAAAATAAATAAATTTGAATAAAAACATATGATAGAAAAAAAGAAAAACAATACAAACCCCATTGATGGGCATGAACACGAGCAGCAAAGATAGAAATAGGTGGTCCATTATATTCACATGAAAAAGGAGTTCGAATAGCTAATGCAAAGATAAATTTTACGAATTCAAATTAATGAATAAATAATTTTCTTCATTTTACTTACTATGTGTTTTTGGTCGTAGATAGATAGCACCCGTACCACTTAATAAGACACCTGCATGATATTTACGTCTAGAATAAAACATTATTTTATAATGAAAACACAAGAAGTTTCTATTTTATTTTAAAAAAAAATTTATCTACGGTTTTCGAGTCAGAATTAATTGATTTCCAGAATTATCATTTTTCAAAATTAACAAATAATGAATATTAATAACAATATATTTGTATGGTGTATTACGTCCAACAGGAATACCGACATCTAAATATAAAAAAAATAGAATTTTTCTCGTTTTAATTATGTTAATAAAATCCAAATACCTTCAGGTAGTGTAAATGAAGGTGCATTTCGAGCCCATCCATGAATAATCATTTGCTGACCACTACATGGTCCATATCCAGTCCTACATAAATAAATCGATCTAAAAAAGTATTAGAGAAAAACAAAAACAAAAACAAACCAGAATGGTTTATCCGAACCGGGTTCTGAACAGGCATATGAAAGCATATGATGAGCTGAATTCATATTGATCAATGGTGAATATCCAACTAAATTGAAAATTCTTCATCATTTTGATTAAAAAAAAAATTATTAACTCACCAATAAATAATTCTTCATCGGGTAATTTATGTTGAACATATGCATATTCATCTTCCTAGAGAAAAAAAAAGCCCAATGTAAAAATTTACGCATGGAAAAAAACAATTTTTTTTTTTGTTGGATATATATGTAAACCTGTTTTGTTTCATAATTGTTCATAGTAACATTAATAGTAAAGAGATCATCATATTTTTTTGAAACACTGGCCGAATAACCACAATTGATAATAGTAACAAGGACAATAACAATACTAAGGACAGTTTTTATACGAAAACAAATATTGTTCATTTTCATAATTGTTTTTGTTTGTTTAATAGAAACAATAAAACTAAAAATCATCAATAAAATTTCATTAGTTTATATACTTTTCTTTTTCTTTGTTTTTTGTTTACTTACGTATACTTTTGTTTTTAGTCACAATATGAAGAGAAACAAGTTGAATACAGAACTGAAAAACAAAAGAGGGATATTACATCTGAAATTAAAGGAAATAAATTATGACAATTAGATGTCAAATAGATTGAAAAAACAACAAAAAAAGAAAGAAAGAAATCATTGGTATGCATAAATGACTATCTTACTGAAATCACTTATCATTAATTTGATAAGAAAAACTAGAAAGAAATAGACTCTGCACAAAATCATTTTTTTGTTTTGATGACTGTAATATTGTTGAATTTGGTTGAGCTAAAGAGGAAGAAGTAGATTCATCACACATTCGCCGTAATAATGAACGATCAGATTCTGTATTTGTTTTTGTTGTTGTTGTTGTTGTTGTTGTTGTTGTTGTAGGAGTTTTCGTTTTGGAAGAGGTTTGTTGTTCAGGTGTAGACTGTTGTTGAGTAACAATACGTGCCCAAGTTTGAGGATTATTAGTAGGTGAAATGGATGGATCAGTTAAAAGAACTGATGAAAGAAATGAATCAAGAAAATCACTTTCAACAGATGTAGGTATTGATTGCTGAGAATGATTTAATTGATGATAATGATGAGAACGTCCAGCTGCACGAAGACGTTCACGTTCATATTGTTGACGAGCAAATGTTTGAAGATTAATTGTATTTGGTGAAGATGTTAATGAACTATTAGTATTAGTTACATTATTATTATTATTAGCTGCTGCTAATCGTCGTACAGTTGATAATTGTGTTAATAAATTACTAATTGGATCATTTCCACTAACAACTGTAGGTAATCCTGATGATCTATCAATTACAAAATGTTGACTTATAGGTCCACTTCCTCTTTCTGATGCACCTCTTCGAATAGTTGTTCTTAATAATCCACGTCGAAAACCACCACGAATTCCAGAATTAATACCAAAATCATAATCTCTAGGTGGTAATGTTTGTCTTGTATAAGTATTTATTTCTCCACCAGGTGATGATACTGTATTTACTTGTTGATCTTGATGATCATTAGCTATATGTGAAATAAGATCTGTAGTAACTAAATTTGATTCACCATTAATCATAGAAGCACATATTGGACAAATAACTTCATATGATTGTTGATTATCACTATGTTTTATTTGAAGATGTTGAAATAAATCAATATTTTGTATATTATTTGATGAAGATGATTCATTAAGACATGGAAATGATAAACCCATATCACCACAAAATGGACATGTTAATGATTGAGGAGAATCATATGTATATCGTTCTCCATGATAATATAAATCAAAATCTTGATGTGTTAAAATACCTTAAATAATGAAATATTTTATAATAGAAAAAAAGAAAAAAAAAAAACAAAATAAATTTACATTGCATAGGATGTTCTCTTGTATGATGACTAGATATTTCACCTTGTTCATAACATGTAGCACACAAATCATAATCATAACAAATTAGACATTTGAAACGCTTTGAACGAAAATTACTTTTACCACAAGCATCACAACTAACACCTTCATGAACTGACATATTTAAGAATAAATGGCGAGGTCAATCCAACGCCATACGGTCATGCACCAGCAGGTTACATATAAAATCAGACAAGACTACCATAATGCTTGAATAACATCAACCAATCAGAATATACCTCCTCGACGATGACATATTACTTTATTCTATCTAGCAAAAAGAAAACCATTATGATGAAAATAAAAGATTTCAAACAATCGGTCTTGTATAAACATTATTATTAAATAATAAGTTTCAAAAAATGTCGATGTAATCTTTATTTTTTGTTCTGAAAACCACTACTAAGTCTCAAAAACAAACAACGAATGGCCAATTGCGACGTTTGCAAGCCATCTATTTTTAACCTCATGGGAAAATACTTTTCTTTTTACGCTTGAAATATTATTGGTATGCTGTCAGACCCCAATGACTCATACTTTTAATAGCAGATTCGAAAGTTACTGATGCACTTTGGCTACATTTTCGGCCCAAAGAATTTTATTGGATGAATTTTTGTCGAGAGATCACATTTTTCATTCACATTTCAATTTACTATGTGGGATGACTAGCAGATTTTTCACAACCATTTTACAAGCGATTTACTATGTGACTTTAGCACCCTCTATCTGACTGATTGATTATTCGTTCTATCCAGTCTTTCCTCCTAGCTGAACACACTTCATTAATATTCACTTCTGGAGATTATTATGATTGTCTCAATGTCTGTACTGCCTTCCCTGAACACTGTAACAACGAGTTAGGCTTTAAGTGAGTATACTAATTATGAATTATCGTTAATATTGTCATCTTAACATATTCATGTAATTTAGATAACGTCAAATCAACGAAGTCACATTAACCAAATATATACATTAACTCATTTTTTTCTTTTATTTTTTTTTATCTCGTTGTTGTATTAAATTTTTTATTGTAGTATTTTTAGTTTTTAGTGCATGTTCTTCTTTATTTCCTCCTCTGTTGTGTGGGAATTCGATGTTTAAAAACTCTCTTTTTTCCTAATAATAAATTGATATCTGATGTATATTTCAAAATTACTTTTGAAACACAGTAGAAATATAAACGATTTCCATTTGTCAATGGATAAAACTGGATGAACTCAAGTCAAATGTCCAACCACGAACGAGCCATACCGTGAGAAGGTCATCCATTATTTAACAGGCCCCTTTCGTTACTAGGGAAACCACCTTCTCAATGATGCTCATTAACAAAAAGTATTTTTGCTAGTAAAATGAATATACCAGAGTTGTTCCTTGTCTGACTCTAGTATAGAATAAATTAAAATCTTTCGGATTTATTCTTTGGGCAAAAAATAAAAATAGATGTCACTGGTGAGAAGTGCATCTGCTATTAATTGGAAGAAAGAAACGTCTTTTAACCCCTCTGACAGTATACCATATGTAAATAACAACATTCATGATATCGAAAGGTCACCTTGAAACGTATTAAATCCCTATAAGATGTCTGAGAGGAAATCTTGTCAGATTTCCTAAATTTATAGGTATAGAGATTTTTAAAATATTTCTATTTTGACAGTTCGTAAAAGAATGTGAGTTCAGTATGAGTAATAGTAGATGTCACTCTTCTGCTATCAAGAAAATGGACTAGTAACTGCACAAAACAGGAAAAAAGTAAGGTGCAGGGAGTGCGAATTTCGAGTGAAAATTTCTTTTTTGCCGTTTTTTTCATGTTATCGGATAGAGCTTGAGCTGCTGATCACAGAAATCTACTTTTTAGTCTTAGCAAATGCTGTCTTCTGGTCTAAAAATACGGAAGAGTCGAAAAGTGTCGTTTTTCGATAAAAAACACATCTTTCTAAAAATATACAAAATTTTCTACTTTTTTCTTTTTTTTCGACTTCTGAAAATATTTTTTTTCGATTCAGCATAAAAAACTGAGTATAGACAAGTTGTTAAATCGACTCTAAACTCTAAACTCACTCTATTGGTGGTGGCGCTTGAAATCGTGTGAAGCCAGATATTAATAGATCGATTTTGTAAACCTATCTAGTTTTTGCACGTAAATAATGAAGCCAAATGCTTTGCCTCATGATATTTACCATATCATCCCTCCACCCACGTTACGGATTGGTTTTTTCCTTTTCTTTCCTGTG